TCCTTTCTGCCTCAGCCTTCCGAGTAGCTGGAACTACAGGCGTACGCTACCACGCCCGGCTGATTTTTTGATTTATTGTAGAGATGAGGTCTCGCCAAGTTGCCCAGGCGGGTCTCGAACCCGCCGGCTCAGGCAATTCACTCACCTCAGCCTCCCAAAGCGCTGGGATTACAGGCTGAGCCACCAAGCCTGGCTGTTTTTTAAAGATTCGAAAAAGTGTGTCTAATTTCAGAAAATTCAGAAAGTACAAAAATAATAAAGATTTAATTCTTCCATCATCAAAGAGGAAGGGGTCTAAAAATTCCTCTTTACGTAAATTTTGGAAACAACCTCTGAGATATAAATGCTTAATGAAAACTCAGATGGAATTATGGGCATTAAAATAATTTGTGAAGACTGGGCATGTTAGCTTATGCCTGTAATCCTTGGGAGGCCAAGGTGGGAGGATTGCTTGAGACTAGGAGTTCAAGACCAGCCTGGGCAACATAGCAAGACTCTAACTCTATTTTAAAAAACAAAACAAACTTTGTGAAGTACAAAGTCCAGATCTCTATTTTAAAAAACAAAACAAACTTTGTGAAGTACAAAGTCCAGAAGTAGCCCCAACTGTTTTCAGAAATCTAGTGTATGATAAAGATATTACCTCAAATTATTGGGGCAAAAATGGGCTTTTAAAAAAATGGTGTTGGGGCAAGTAGAAAAGATAAAATTTGACCCATTCCTCATACTATATAAAAGAATAGTGCCCAATGGATCAGATAGCTAAACGTAAAAAATGTAACTTTAAAAGCACAAAAGAAAACTCAAGCAATGTCCTCCAAAACCTAGGTGAAGAAAAACGTTTACTTGCTATGACTCACAACCCAGACACAATAAAGGATTTATAAATTTGACTTCATAAAAATAAAAATCTTTTGCATATGAGAAATAACTTGAGTAAAGCAAAGACGACAAATGACAAACCAGAAGGAAATATCTGCAACATATATCACAGGTAAAGAGGTAATGTCTCTAATATATAAATAATTCAAAATTAAAGAGAAAAAAAGACCAAAAATCCTATAGAAAAGAAAGCTCTAAACAACTTACCCCCCCTCCCCTGCCACACACACACTCCTAAACACAAGAAAAGGCATTTAACTCTATTCATAATGCAAAATAAAACAACACTGAAATATCGTTTTTCACCCACTTGGTTTTGAGATTGGTTACAATACTGAGAAGCTCGGTGATATACTCCATAAGTGAGACTGGTGAATGGGCCCTCTCACACATTGCTGGTAAGATCACAAAATGGTACAGCTTACTCTTATGAAGGGGAATGTGATAATAGTGAATAAAACTACACATGCATTTACTCTTTGAGCCAGCACTCCTACCTTCAGGAATTTAGAAAATATACCTCCGACAATGCAAAAATACATATATAAAGTTGTCCGCTACAGCATTGTTGTAATTGCAAAATATTGCAAAGTGCCTAAATGTCTAAGCATAGAAAATTGATTGAATACACTATGGTACATACAATCAATGAACTACTAATCAGTTACAAAAAAGAATGAAGATCTCCAAGAAATGAGCATGACTATGGAATGATTTCTAAAAAAATGTAAAAAGCAAAGTACAAAAGAACCTTTTCATGAACCTGGCATTCACAATCTTGAGTACAGTGTGGGAGAGAACTGCAAACAAACCCTGAACTCCTTAGTGGGTCTGCTTCTGTAGTAAAATGAGCAAAGCAATTCTGAAAACAGTTTGAGGCATTATAGTACTGAGTGAATGTGCTGATGTTGTTGGAAGACAATACTGTAAAAAGGGATGGTAAGGAAGAACATTGTGGGATGAACTGGAATTGGAGATAAGGGTTTGGGCTTATGATTTCTAAAACAAGTATGTGTATATGTGTTCATACTTAGATATACACTCATGAGTGTGTGTACACACAGACTTATGTCTGGGTATCTATTGTGTCTATCTGTGCACATATTTTCCAATTCTGTCCACTGAAAGGGCCTAGAAGCAAAGATATTCCAAGTCACATTTTTCATGTTTAGCTCTCTGATCCATGGGACATTCTTCTTCTTTTTTTTTTTTTAACAACAGAAATTTATTTTCTCATAGTTCTGGAGGCTGAATTTTCAAAATGAGGTTCCAGAAGGATTCAGTTTCTGGCTTTTTTGATAGCTTGAAGACTGCTGCCATTTTTGCTGTGTCCTCTCATGGTTGAGAGAGAGAGAGAGAGAGAGAGAGAGAGAGACAGACAGACAGACACAGACACTATTCTTTTATATGCTGCGAGAAATGGGTCTACTTGCCCTAGTAGCATCCAGAACTTGGTTTCTAATACCACTTCTTACTAAGAGAAATCAGGGATCCTTAAAGAAGTGGCTGAATCTAGGGTCAGGGAGAGAAGTTACAAAATAAACATGAAATATCTTGCAACATCAGAATGGAAGAAACTGCTCAAAAAATTTTGAAGCATGTCACAGGGACACAGGAAGTAGCCTGAAAGGGCTTCCACTGGTTAAATGAGTACCACTGATAATTTGGAGCACCAAAGTAATTAGGGGGTAGTAATAAATTCTAAACCATTGAAAAAAATAGGAATTCATAAGTCTACACCAATGGAGAGAGGGGAAGGGGAAGGTCCCAATCTGGTTTTCTGGCCCTATCTTTCACTAGGCAATTGAGCTGCATAGACTTTATAGGTGTACCTTAATGAATCCATCACAGGTACTCTCCCATATGCCCATCATCCTCTCAGAAGTTTATCAGCCAAAACACAGCCCATGCTTTCCATATCCATGTTACTGTTCATACTAAGACCCTACTGTCCATCTCTTCCTGTTCAAACACCACCATCCTCCAAGAATGGTCCCCATCCCTGGCTAGTGTTCTTTCCCTTCCTATAACACTCTACTTATCTGTCTCAAGAAGCTTTTAAGTCATTCACCATTCTTATTTACAATAAACAAAAACTGGGAACAGTGTAGGTGTTCAG